GGTCAAAAATACCCCAAAAATAGTCTACGAAGCAGTGTACCTCCTACGTGGTGTAGACGGGATGGCCCCCGCCATGGCAGAACACTGCGAACGCTCCTCCTTCGACGAGGACACCTACAGCGGCGACCCCATCTTCTACGACTGTGTCGGCGAGGATCGGGACGTCGCTGAGGCCACCGACGACACCAGCGACGTCGAGGCCGACCACCCTCACGAATGCCTTGACCCGCTTCTTGGAGGCGGAGGACGGGGCGGGCTGCGAGCTCAGCGGGGCCGGGGTGCCCTGGCTGACGATTTCCAGCGCCAACTTTTCCAACTGCAGGCTTCAGTTCGCGATCTGGCAGCCCAGGCTCGAGGGGGGAAGCCTGCACCTACCACTCCAACTAGACGTCGACGCAGGGAGCCCAAAGTGTTGACGAAGCTGCGCCGCCTCATCAGGAAGGTGGACCGACAGGGCTGCACTCCCACGGCGAAGGAAGTGACGGACACGCTGCGTTCGCTGATCGGCGACCCTCCTCCTTCGATTAATACCACCACAGCCGGCGCCAGTCCACCGACTCCGACGCCCCAGCCCACGCAGCGCTACCAGAAGCTGGTGCCCAGTACATGGGGTACAGCGCCAGTCTGGCCAGCCAGCACAGGGAACTTTTTGATACATGGTTGATATGTGAACAAATGTATGCATGAGCTCATCGTTGGTTTTACTACTAAATCCCTGCATGTTTAATACATGGTCCGCACGCGGAGCATGTATTAAAAACGGCACTGTACCATCAAGGATCGCACGTATGGTCCGACCGAGCCACCGGCAGCATCCTGCATGGGAATCAAGGACCAGAGGGCCGCGATGGAGTGGTTCCGGGGGGCGGGCCTCGCCGACCCATGTGCCACCTTCGTTATCGCTCGGACGTCCATGTCCCGTGCATTTTTCGTTTTCGTGCGTGTTTTTTGTTTGCTCGATGGTCCAGGATGGTCCTGGATGGTCCTCGCCGAGAAAAAAAAGTACACGTCCGAGCGATGCTAGGTCCAGGAAACATCTGACGAACCAGGCTGGACAGAAGCCGCCGCCCCAGCGGAGGGGCCACAGGGAGGTGCCGTTCTGGCAGCCGCTCTGATCTACTACTTGGGAGCCCGGGCGCCACGACGATCAGGCCTTCCGCGCGGAGTTCGCGACGACGCTGGGGATCCCAAGGTGCAGGAGGTCACCCCAGCCTCCATGCGGCTCACCATCACGAGAGATTTCCCCGAGGACGTGCTCTTCGCCCAGGCTGCGGAGAAGCCCGTCTCGGTCGCCCCCCTCATCTTCAACCCCACCCTCGCCAAGCAGGTCCTCAAGACCAAAGGCGCGGTCGCCTACGACACGGAGGTCACGGCCATCGTTGTCGCGCGCGCAGCCGCAGTCGACGACTTCCTCAAGTTCCCGCTCCCTCCGGGATTGTTCCTGAACACGCAGGGCAGCAAGCTCATCCCTGTCTGGCACAAGCTGCGGGAGGACGAGACCAACGCCGCCTACTGCAAGCGCGTCCTGGCGGCCACCACGGCCGCCGCCGGACGCATGGTATACCGCCCTTCGGACAATTCGTCGCTCGGCATACTCGCGGAGGGCATCGTGGCGGCCGACATCCAACCTCGCTGGCTCTTGCGGCGCATCAACCCTGCCTGGTCACAGGAGGAGGAAGAGGTGAGCGAATGGGCCACGCGCCGAGGCTTCAAGAACGGCTCCCGCATAGTCCGCGCTGGGGCTCGCCGATGGTTTCTTCGCGGCGACCTGGCCGCCATCGCCAACGACCAGGTGCTTTCCTTCTCCTCGGGGGTCCTGGTCAGCCTCGCGCCACCCCGACGCGGACAAGCAAGGCCCACACCTACGACAGCTCCGACGACGGCCTGGGGCACCCCTAGCCCAGCCAGGCCGCCCCCACAAGCGCCGCCCCACCACCGGCGGCGCCGGAAGAACAGGAGGACGAGGAAATGACCAGTAACGACGGCTCAGACGAGCAGGACCAACGCAAGAAGGTGGCCACAGGACGAGCAGCAGCTGCTGCGGCCCCTGCGGCCCCTGCCCCATGCCCATGGGAGCCCTAATTCACGGCCAAGGAGTGCGGCGGCAAAGGAGACTGCTTCTACTGCTGCGCTGGCCACTTCAAGCACACGCCCAAGGCTCACGCCAAGCCGCTCGCCGACGCCGGCCTCGCCCCAGGTGGCCGACTCCAGGCGCAGATGCGACAGGCGGTGGCGGCCGAGCTCCGAAAGCATAAACATCCCGAGGAAGCGGCCCAAGGTGCCGCCGGGACATGGGCCACCTCCAAGGCAATTGAAACGGCAGCCAAGGTCCTCAAGACGAATTTCGCTGTCTGGAAGAAGGCTACGTCAGGCTGGGTACTGTTCGCAGCACCTACGTCGATCGCGACAACACGCAAGGCATGGCTCACACTCGTCGACGGCCACTACCAGCTCCTCACGAATACGACCCCACTGCCGCCATCCACAGAAGAAGAGTGGAAGAAGTCCTCTCGTCCATACCCCCACCACTTCACTGGCGGGGGGGAGGCCAAATCAGCGTCATCACGTGGTCTCCGCAGCTTGCTCAGCTTGGAGACTCCATCGGTGACCTCACCAAGTACTACTCGGACTCAGCAGCCAAGACGCCTCTCAAGCCGAGGGGCGCGCAGCATCCTGAGCCTACCGACGCCATCTAAGGCCCCCTCCCAGGCGGGCACCGCCGACATGCGACAACTCCTCAGCATCGCGGGCGACCCCGACGACGCCGTGACCCCACCGGTGGCACCCACGTGCCCCCGCTACGACGCCTACACCTACTGGCACTGCGAATGTGGCTGGAAGCCCAACATCCTGAACCAGACGGTCAACCAGATACGCAACGAGGCCCGCGTCCATTGGCGCTACTGCCAAGGAGAGAACCTTCCCAAAGAACCTTTGGAAGCTCGACGCGCTCGCTTGGAAATCGGAGGCTCTGCGACCGACGCCACGAAACGAGGAAAACGCTTCGCAGCTTGGCAACAATTTACCACTTGGAAGACGGAGCTGGCCCAGCAGGCCCGGGACGTCATCTGCGACCCCGTCGAGGCCTCCGCGTACACGACCCAGCTCTCACGCATGAAGACCACCAAGTACACCTGTTCTCGCTGCGGCAGGAGCCTCCCGCTCGCCTGCTTCAAGAAGACGGTGTGCAAGAAGCGCCCTGACGGCATGACCCAACGAGCAGCTCTCCGCACCCTCCTCGGGCAGGCCAGGGCCGACAGCTTCCTCAAGGAAGCCTACGGGAAGTCGCGCAGACGCGCGGCTGAACGGGAAGCAGAACCTGGCTACTACGAGAAGCAGCACCAGCTCTACGGCCGCCAGACTTACATCACCGGGATGTCTCGCCAGAAAGTATGAGGCAGTCGAGCCGCGCCGACGCGTTAGCCGACAGCCTGCCGCTGCTGCCTCCAGCAGCTGACGGGGCCCGCTCCTCGGGGGAGGCAAGACTCCTCGGGGGCCGGCATCCAGGAACGCATCTACCTCTCCGACGTGCTAGCCCACGGCACCGAAACGAATTCGAATCAATGCTTCAGATGCTCATTCAAATTCTCAGCAGACGCTCACGCCTCAACGGCGGCCCTCGCAATTACCGCTGATGATCCACATGGTGAGCGGCTGCGGACGCGGTTTTCTCCAGAGGATGGTGGAACTCTGGCTTCATTCTCTTCGCCACCAACACCTATGGCAACGACCCCGCCGCAGCCCTCTTCTGGGAATGATGGCATTTCTTCCAACGTTATTGCTCCCTCGTCAATTTCGGCAAGGTCCCCGCTGCATGTCCCCTCTGGGACTGGGAGTTCCCACACTACGCACGACGGCCCGCGGGCCAAACCACCGCGGCGCGACCCCGCCGGCGGCGACGACGTTGGTGGCGACGCCGACCAACTCATGGAATCGGACACCACGCCCGACCCCATGCGACTCCAAGTATGCACTCGCAACGTCACCAGCCTCACCACGGCCCGCCTGACCACCATCCTGTCCTCCCGAGACACGATGGCAGCTGGCATTGTGTGCCTGCAGGAGATCCGCCAGCGGGAGCTGCGCCCCAGGTGGGCCCTCCGCCTCGCCGGCGAGCCTCGGTTGGAGCACCGCCTGCTCCGACCGTCCCCCTGCCACCAGGGGCGCCACCGCCGCTGTGCGCCGAGGGGGGTGCGCCATACTCTGGCGACGCTCACCGGGCCGTGTCCACGTTGTCCGGGACACGATGCTCGGGCACAGGACGGTGGGTATTCGCGCGGCACGCGCCACTGTCCTCTCGACCTACGGCCCCGCCGAGCTCGACCGCGACTGGTTCCGCCGCAAGTTCACCTTCTTTCGCACGCTCGGCCACCTCGGCCACCCAATCTTCGTCGTTTGGGACCTGAACTAGCGCCCCACCTACGCAGGGGTCGTCGGACACGGCTGGCGCCTCGACACCACCGCCGACGGCTCACCATCAACCACGACCACGGTGAATACCTGCCCGACGCGCGCCCTGTTCTGGGGAAGCCCCGACGCCGGGCCACCACTGCATACCGACACTACGCTCTTGGCTGGCATTCCACACCACGGCCTCGTCAGCTACACGCTCAACGTCCCGTATACGGAACAAACCACCCACCACCTCCGACGGACCGCCACCTACGTCCCAGCCCGCGGCGCTCCTCCCGAAGCGAGAGCTCTTATGCAGGAACTGGTTGATTTGGAATTTGGCCCTCCCCTGATTTCCGATGACGACGACAGCAACCCGCCGCTCACGGACCGATGGGACTACTGGCACCTACGCGCCGAACAGGCGATGCTAGTGGCAGTCGACCGTGGCTGCATGCAGCTCGACAAACTGGCCGAACGGCCAAAGGGCTCCAAGCCCACGACTCGACGCACCTCACACTCACCGGCACACCGACTGGACAAGTCGATAGCCCTCCGACGCCTGCTACGCCTCCACAGGGCCCTCGCAGAACACCTGCGCCAGGGAGGCCGGAGCCACGACTACCTCACGCCGAGGCACCACCTTTCGGTAGCCCAAGCGGCCCTCAACGGCACCCTCAACGCGCAAGCCTGCGGCATCCCATGCTACTCCGACGCCCTCCACTGGATCTCCCAGGCAACCTCGGCGGAGCAAGCCCGTCTCCAGGACGCGGCTAACCGCCAATGGCGGCAGAGATTCGCCACCTGGAGCAACGACCTCTGGTCCTATACGCCTCCCATATTCAAGGCCACGCCGCCGACGCCCGCCATGAACGTCCACGACATGCGCCAGCAATGACATGACCAATGGTGCCCCGACAACTACGACGGCGACGCGCACCATCAACGCTGGAAGATATGCCGCGGACACCGTCTTCACGAAATCCGACAAGGCCTTCGACTGGACACCCTCCTGGGACCAGTTCCGGGAAGCCATCCAACGCGCCGAGGGTTGCCCTGGGCTTGACGGCTGGAGCCGTAAGGAGCTCCGCGCTCTGGCCCACTGGTTCCCGGCCATCGTCCGCGAGCTGTTCGACCTCTGGACTGCCACGTCCACAACAGCTGTCCAAACCCGCCCGACCTCCTCTCCAGGGTCTTCCCCTGGAGGGTAGCAGGGTTGCCCAAGGGGGAAAGCGACACCCGGCCGATCTCGGTCGGCTCGGTACTCCTCAGAGTCTGGCTCAGGTCCCTGTCCCAAGCCGTGCCCGAGCTGCCAGACGATCAGCACGCCAACCGCTCTGGTGCCAGCGCCGCCCACGCCATAGCCGCCTGACTATCCGACTGCGCAGACTCTTCCGACGGAGTGGAAATGGACCTGTCACTGACTACCTACCAGACCACCCCAACCCAACCCGAAGACCCGAATTTGACCCGAATTTCGGGTTGGGGGGGGGTGCGGATTCCATGTGTTTTTTCAATGCTCCCCGACCCCCCCCCCACCGGAAATCGAAGATTAATTTGGGCCTTCGGGTTGGGTTGGGGTGGTTTGGTGCGTGGTGAGTCACGGGCCTTCGACAACATCGGTCACGAGCTAGCCCAGGAAAGCCTCATCGAGAGCGGCCTGCCAGACCTCGTGGTCTGCACCTGCCGCGCTGCGTGGTCGGGCCCCCGCCACTGCTCCCTCGTGGGCACGACGGCGCCACCGGTCCACCCGCCAGCGGGGCCTCCCGCAAAGGGGACGCCATGGCCCCGGCCACGGTGGTGGCTTGCCTCGCCCCTTGGCAGCCCCTATCCTCTGGCCACGCCTTCATGGAGGATCGCGCGATTGTCTCCACCTCGCCGGGCGCGCCGGCCACCGACAGTGCAGATACTCAGAGCTTCGACCGACGAGTGGACTTTGTGGAAAACATCGGCAAACGACAACACTGGTCCGACCAAGACGTCCTTCCACGACGCATCCGGCACCTCGGAGTGCTCGCAACACCGACCGACTCCAGCTTCGGCATCATTCCACGCCAAGGGTGGGCAAAGCTGGAAGCTGGAGACCTCCATCGCCGTGCTGGCCCCCATCCCAGGCAGCAGCCAGGTTCGCCTCAAGCTCGCCTTCGCCTACATCCGTCCTTTGTGGCTCTGGGCGAGCCCACTGGTCATCCCGCCGCCCATCAAGTACGCGAGGACCCTGGCGCGAGCCGTCTGGCACACCGTTTGCACCTGGTGGTGCCATGGGAGGTGGTGGGCCCAAAATGTATTACGTCATCCGGTGTATTATGCTGCTATATTCGCTTTCAAGAACATTGTAGATACTAAGCTGAAGTGGTCTGTGTTTTTGAAGCATTCTATCGCTGCTCATGCAACTGCGTTGGGTCTCACCTACCGACGTTTCTCTCCTACGCGAGGAGCTCAATTGGAAGTCGATCCCACCAACGATCACCGTGTCCTGAAAGCGGTGGAGGAGCACGTGGACGACTACTGGCGCTTCTGGTCGGCATCCCCTGGTGCTCTGCACGTCCTGCGAGTTATCGCACGCATCCGTTGCCTACAAGCAGTGGTTCCTACGCGGCACGACGCGGAAGAAATCTCCGACATCGACGTCGAGATGTGCTCGGCCAAGGCCTATACGCGCTGGGTGGGTACACCCAGCGACACGGACAAGACGCTTCTCTCGATATTTCGCTCTGGTGCCGTCACCAGCGAGACTCGGAGACGAACCGGGTTCGCATGCAAACACTGCGGTGCAACTGCCCCATCGTTTCGCCATGTCTGGGCAGAATGCCCGAGGTGGCACCATGCGAGATCCAACATCGGAGCTCGCTACATGCTTCCCGACAGTTTCTGGACATCTGCTCCTAGGTGTACAGCGAAGTCGGGATGGGTTACTTATGCTCTAGCTGATACCAAAGAGGAGCGGACTCGAATGCTTCTGGCCTCTTGCTCTCTAGGCATTACGATATAGGCCAGTGGAAAGGAAGACATGCTTACTGATGCTACCCCGCTACCTTTTTCTAGAAGACGGCGTGTTGGCAACAGGAGTGTAGACTAACATCTTAAGTTTGGATATATCCCACACGCCAGAGTGTTCCATTCCAACTTCTCTTTCTCTCTCTCTCTCTCTCTCTCTCTCTCTCTCTCTCTTTCTTTCATTAAAAAATATTCCCCAGACTATGTGTGGGTTTGTTGGTGACTATGTTTGGGGTATGTTCTATTTGTCTTCGAAGATCCCCCTGTAGGGGGACACGCCCGACTTAAGAGAAGATCCAAAAATAGCCCGTCGCGATGTCTTTCACGACGCGCACCTGTCTGACTACCTACCAGACCACCCCAACCCAACCCGAAGACCAGAATTTCGGGTTTGGGGGGGTACGGGCTTCACATGTGTTTTCTCGATGTTCCCCGACCCCCCCCACTGGAAATGGAGGGCAAATTCGGGCGTTCGTGTTGGGTTGGGGTGGTTTGGTAGGTGGTGAATGTCTGGGTCAGCCAGAGGCTCCGCAGCGCGCGCGCGGCCTTCCAGGAAGCACCCCCCGCCTTTCGGAGGCCCCCCGCCTTCTCGGAAGGCGGCCCCCCCCGTCGCCGCCCCCTTCTGGATGGGCCTGTTCTCCACCACCACCGCCATAAGTTGGAGGGGGAGGGGTCCTCCTCCTCCTCCTCCTCCTCCTCCTCCTCCACCTCTTCGTCCTCCTCCTCCTCCTCCTTCCTCTCCTCCTCCTCCTTCGTCCTCCTCCTCCTCCTCCTCCTCCTCTTCGTCCTCTCCTCCTCCTCCTCCTCCTCCTCCTCCCTCGTCGACCTCCTCCTCCTCCTCCTCCTCCTCCTCCTCCTCCTCCTCCCCCTCCAGCTCATGGTGGTGGTGGTGGTGGAAAACGGGCCCATCGCCTCCTGCGCGCCGCCGATCCGAGCCTGTTGCTTTTGTGGTTCTCCGCGGGGAGCGCCCGTGGCGGGCCCCGCTCCCCCGCCCTCTGTCTTTGCGGATGCGAGGACACGACGAACGAACCAGCACGCACCCGCACCCACGGGGAGCACGGGATGGGGGGCTGTGGGTGCGTGCTGTCGGACGAGGGGTCCCCACCCGACCGGGAGCCTCCCCCGCGGTCCGACCACCCGCACCCATGCCCACGGCAAGTCCTCCGCCCACCGACCCCCAATTATGGGTGTGGGTGTGCGTTGCCCGTTCGCCGATGGCAACGGACACCCTGCCGATCCTATCGTTGAGCCATCGTTGAGTTAGACATGTGCTCAATACTGTTTGAACATGTCGTTACAATGTTCAAACCATGTCTTTGACAAGTTTGAGACATGTTTGGTCTGGAAAGTATTTGGCAACCTGCTTCCTCTCCGTTGATCGTCCACAACCCTTGTCACGTCACGATTCGCGCCGGCCCCGTATGGGGCTCAGCCGTTCCTGAGGATTCCCAGCCGGCGCCACCGCGAACGGTGATGTGACTGGCTCCTCCCCCTCCCCCCCTGGTCACGCCCGTCCCCGCCAGGGGATACAAAACGGTCTCCCCCCCCCCCACGCTGTGCGCGCCGCCGAGATAGTTGGCGCCCTCCCAACACCGGGAGCGGCCAAGAGGGGGGTGTCCAAGAGGGGGGGGGGTGCAAATCATGACCGGCGGCACGTGCGCGGCCCAGGGGGGGGAGCCAGGGACGTAATGAAACGAGAAGAGGCGCCATGAAATGTGGAGCAGAGGGGCCAGGGACGTAATGAAACGAGAAGAGGCGCTAGGAAATCCAGGGAAATAGCATGGCCCCCGCCATGATATCCACCCCCCCCTGGTCATCACCCCCCTCTGCTCCGCCCTCCCAGCAGCACCAGGGTGGGCAGGGCCGACCGTTTTGTCGACCGCCGAGATTCGGCGGTGGACAAACCTCCCTTCAGTAGACCTCCCCTTAGTGAAAACGGCCTGGGGCCGAAACCGACGGACCTGGACCCGCAACAAGTGACGGCCGCGACGCCCTCTCGCGAACCTTAAACGGCCAATTCCTTAATCGACATGTCAGGGTAGGAGGTCTGTCCACCCCCGAGAGATAGTTGGCGCCCCCGACCCTCTGAGGAGGACACCCTTCGCCCGAAGCCGATGCCGGGCCAGCGCTGGACCCTCCCCCCAATCCCTGGCGCGCGGAGCCCTGCAGGCGCCGCTAAGGAGGGGAGGGGGAGCCCTCACCCTCCCCCTCCTCCTCCCCCTCCTCCTCCTCCTCCTCCTCCTCCTCCTCCTCCTCCTCCTCCTCCTCCTCCTCCATGATATCCACCCCCCCCCCTGGTCCTCACCCCCCCCTTTTTCGCCCTCCCAGCAGCACCAGGGTGGGCAGGGCCGACCGGGAGCGCACCGCGGCCATGGCGTGCCGGAGTGGGCGTGGGCGGCGGGCGGCGCCGCGAGGGCCCCGGGCGTCCAGCGTCTCTTGAAGGCCCTGCCTTTTTGGCGCTCGGCGTCCCCCCCGGCCTTCTCCAACGGCGCGCCCAGGAGGAGGAGGAGGAGGAGGAGGAGGAGGAGGAGGAGGAGGAGGAGGAGGAGGAGGAGGAGGAGGAAGGGGAGGAGGACGACAGGAGCAGGAGAAGGACGAGGAGGACCAAGACGCATCCTGAAGAAGAGTTTGCCGTCTTGGTCAGTGGCGCGGGGCGCGCCCAGAAGACAAGGTTGGCGAGAAAGCGGGCCGCGCGCGGGGGGAAGTAAAAGAATGGGCAGGCCTCCTCAGACGTGTTTGGTTCTTGTTCTGCCAAGGCAATCCTCGCGGCCATGCTGGGTTACTATATAGCCTCTGGTGTGGCGCGGTCCGGTCGCAACGAAGACTGCCTGGTTGAGACATCCTCTGGTGTGACGTGGTCTGATCACAACGAAGACTGCCAGGACACTAGGTTCAGTCGGCTTGGTTGCTGGGTTTCTCTGAAGGCGGCGGGGCGTCTCGGACCCCCCCCCGAGCCTTCTCAGAAACCGTCCGTGTCTTCAGAGAGAGCCCAGAAGTAGGTCGGGCCTGTCCCCCTCAGGAGGATGTTGAACGAAACAAAAAAAAAAAAAGACACCCCACACATGCGCCAACAATGCTCAAAAATAGTCAAAAAAATAATCGCAGACTATTTTTGGACCATTTGCCTTTTGAAAATGCTGAATTTCTGCTGCCGGCGCCCGGGAGGCCTCCCGGGCCGATTCCGGCGCCCGGGCCGGCGCCCGGGCTGGCGCCCGAGCCGGCGCTCGGGCGGGCGGCGACGAAAAAGGCCACTCCAATACACATTTTTCTGCTGAGAATGCTGAATTTCTGGCTCTGCCGCCCGGGAAGCCTCCCGGGCCGATTCCGCCGCCTGGACCGGCGCCCGAGCCGGCGCTCGGGCGGTTGCCCAACCGGTTGCCGAACTGGTTGCCGAACATTCCCCCTGCAGAGGGACAGGCCCGACTTGAGCCTGTCCCCCTACAGGAGGATTTTGAACCAAACACACACACACACAAATGCGCCAACCATGCTCAAAAACAGTCAAAAAATGCTCCCCATGACTGCTTTTCTGGACCATGTGTGAACATATTCCCCCTGCAGAGGGGCAGGCCCGACTGGAGCCTCTAGGGAGAGCTCCTCGGGAGGCCGGAGGCCCCCCGCGAGCCTGCCAAGCGGGGCTCCGCCCCCTCTCGGCCCGCCCCCGGGGCTCGCCGCCGCGCCTCTCCCGCGGCACCCACGGCGGCGCTCCGCCGCCTGCAGCTCCCCAGACATCGGGCGTCTCGAAAAAATCGAGACGGAGGTTTTCCGTAGATTTCGGCCTCTCGGGGCCCTCGCCGGGCCTCGGGACCGTCAAAAAACGACTCGGGATGAAAAACCGGTCCCAGGGAAGTGGTCGGGAGGTCGGGGGCCCGCGTCTCGAAAAAATCGAGACGTTGGATGTCTGGCTCCGACGTCCAGCATCGGGCCGGGCGAGAAGGGGGGCCAGCAGAGGGGGGGTCTGAGAATCAGCCCGCGTATATAGCTGATTTCTCGGCCTGCCCCTGGGCTCGCCGCCGAGCCTCCTCCGCGGCACCGACGGCGGCGCTCCGCCACCTGCAGCTCCGACGTCCAGCATCGGGCCGGGCGAGAGGGGGGGGCCAGCAGAGGGGGGGGGTGAGAATCAGCTCGCGTATGGCTGATTCTCCCGGCGCCTCCCCGCGCCGGGAGGCGCCCATGTATCGGAGCATAGGCCCGGCGACGGGGCCGAAACCAGCTGCACGCCGCAGATTTCGGAACCCCCCCTTTCCCGATCCCACCCTTTCGTCCGTCACGGCAGAAGCCTTTCGCTGGCACAGAGCCGTCCAGAACATGTCCAGGGCGAGAAGCTGGTCCCAAGGAAGGGCTCGAGAGGTCCAGAGGCCACGTGCGTTGAAGAAGGAAACGATTCATGCGTCTTCGCGCCATTTCTTCTTCTCGCGCCGAAGTAGGCGAAACCAGCACCGCTGCAACCTCACTGCAAGCCCACGGCAACCCCGAGACAACCTCCGAGGCCGAGGCGGAGTTTGCCCTGGTGGCCGGAACGCCCCCCAAGACTGAGAAAAACGAAAACAATTATCGTGTTGGGAGGAAGGGCTTGGGAAGATACAGGGTACGACTTGGGAACCATCCCGATAGTTGTCCTCCTGAAAGACGCAGGGCCCCGCGTCGGAACAGACGGCGCGGCGGCACTTTTGTGAACAGACGCCAGAGATACCACGGGCCGTCGCCGCGTGAAGGGCGGACGGCTCGATCAAAGACCTTGGGCCGCAATGGCTGGCGGAGGGGTGCGGGGGGAGAGGCAGAAGGTTCAAGGCCCGCTGCGGCCGGGGATCTCCACCTGGCCCACACAGTGGTCGGCGGCGAGCGATGGTGGGGAAGTGAGAAGGAGAAGGCCTTCTCAGAAGGCGGCGGGACTTCTCAGAAGCCCCCGAGCCTGCTGAGAGGTCTCTGCGTTTCCGGGGATGGCTTAGAAAACTTCTCAGGAGGCCGGGGGACTTCCGAGCCTTCTGAGAGGGCCCGCCTCTTCTCACTTGCCCTCCGGGCTCGAGGCCGGACATTGGGATGATAATCGCGACGACGCGGGCGACGACGAAGACAAAGAACAATAGGGGATACGTGGACCCCTATCCCAGGCTTCGTTGGGTTTGCGAGTGAACCCAAAGTTTGGGGCCCAACCCCGGGATCTACGATGGGAGGGCGTCCATTCTGGATTAGTAGCCCCCTTGGGGTGTATCCCAGGATTTCCCTCCTTTCCTGGGCGGCTTCATTTTTCGTCGACAAACTGCTTTGGGGAACACATCGTAAGACGACGACCTCCTGGCGAACGGGTACTCTGACAAGCTGATGTGACCTTCATTTGTTTCTCCCTCTCCTGTCCATGGCGCACCTTTTCCTGTGCAAGTTCTTCGGCACCGCCTGTTTTCTGAGCCCTCCGGCCGCCTGAGGCCCCGCCCGCCCGCGCCCTGTCTCCCTAATTAGGGATACCCGCGTCCCGTTTAGCTCTTGACCGGAAGGGGCCCGCTCCCGACCCGCCGACCAAAAAAAGTTTCTCCTCTCCATCGCACCCGCCCGCTGAGTCTATGAACCAACCCTTCTCGGGGTGGTTTCTTTCCATGCCAGCTGCCGGGTGAAGCATTCAGCAAGGCACTCTGTACGCGCACCATGCCGCCATGACCGTCATGCCAGCTAGCGCGCCCGCGGGCAGCTCGCCAACCTGGAGGGACTGCGAGGAAATCTCGAGCAAGAGCCGCGCTCCTGGGTTTGGAGGATTCTCTGGCCAAGGTACCTCGGCGGAGTGAACTGTGAGGAAAGGTCGAGCGGGAGCCGTTGTCCTCGTGGCTGGGCCCACGCAGACCGAAACTAATTCCGAGGACGTCTCGTGCGAGGGCGCCGCTCATGAGACTTGAGGCCTCTCTGTTCAAGGCGGCTCGGGGTAACGCGTGAGGAACTATCGAGCGGCAGCCGTTGTCGCCGCATCTAGGCCTTCACCAACTTGGCAGAATTACTAAGAAGTTTCGGGCCACAGCTCCAATCCTGACTTTGAGAACTCACGTGACCAGGGCGCGCGCGAGTAGATTGCGAGGAGGTAACACGCGGGAGCCGTTGTCGTCGTAGCTGGGCCCCCACCGACTTGAACGAGTTGCGAGGAAGTCTCGGGGGAGAGCCCCACTCCTAAGCTTAAGGCAGGATCTAGCCAGGCAGCCCTGGAGGAGTACGTGAAGAAGCGTCGAGCGGGAGCCGTTGTCGTCGCAACTAAACCCTCGTAAACTGGAGTGGAGGGTGGAAGCATCTCGGGCGAAAGCGCCGTTCCTGGCCAACGCGCCTCGCAGTAAATTGTGAGGACCTACCGAGCGGGCGCCCTTGTCGCCGTAGCTGGGCCTTCGCCAACTTGGCTGCACTGCCAAGAAGTTCTGGGCCACAACTCTTAAAAAAGGCAGATGGCCGACTCCAGAAACTCTGAACCCAAAAATGTGTTCACCTCGTGGGGGCGCATGTTTTACTTCCAGCACCTTCTGCCGCCCTTTCGCCGGCTTCTGCCAGCGGAGGCGGCCTCGTTTTACTTCCGCCGACCTTTGGCCGCGATTCCGCCGCCTCCCGCCGCGGAAGAGATGGCAACTCATTCGATCCTCGAAGGCAAGGCCCTTTCAGGGACACCCCATTAGACCAAGACCCGCGCGCCGTTGTAGTCGTCCATATTTGGGCCTTCACCACCCCGCGTGCCTTGCGAGGAAGTCTCGAGCGAGAGCGCCATCCCTGATACAAGATCGGGGGTGTCTCTGGCCAAGGCGCCTCGGAGTAACTCGCGAACGCCCAACATCGAACGGGAACCGCTGTCGTCGCAGCTGGGCCTTCAGCAACTGGCACTTGGAAGCAGATCTGCACCCGAACAGGATCGTCGCACTCAGACCGGCGTCAAAGCGAGAGCGCCCAGGCTTCCGCGCGTCAAGAAGCAAGTGTTCCCTGGAGGGAGAGACTTCGATGGACGATGCGAGGGCGGTGATGGATACACGAGGCTTCTCCCCATCCTCCTCCTCCTCCTCCTCCTCCTCCTCCTCCTCCTCCTCCTCCTCCTCCTCCTCCTCCCCTCACCATCCTCCCCCTCCTCCTCCTCTCCTCCTCCTCCTCCTCCTCCTCCTCCTCCTCCTCCCCCTCCTCCTCCTCCTCCTCCTCCTCCTCCTCCTCCTCCTCCTCCCCCTCCTCCCTCCTGCAACGATCCCTCCTCCACCCCTGCCTCCTCCTCCCTCCACCGCCCGACCCCGCTGCGCAGCACCGGAAAGAGAGGCCGAAGAGTACGCTCGGACCTATGGGATCGAACAGCACCCTGCAAGAGCATGGGACCCTCCACCAGCCACAGCCCACACAGGACATCCGAGGGCACCACCCTCCCCAGGATGCACAAGAACGTCCAACAAGCATCAAGTCGGGCGTGTCCCCCTACAGGGGGATGTTCGACGAAAAATAAAAAATACAGAAAAACAAATGGTCAAAAATGCCCAGAAAATAGTCCCCAGACTATGTGTTTGATTTTTTTTGAAGATCCCCCCTGTAGAGGGACAGGCCCGACCTAAAACGAGCACGAAGAACATTCTTGAAGGCGGAATGCGCTCGAAGTATACAGTAGACTGGGACCTGGGAGTCCCAAAATACCTACTTTCAACGACCGGTACCTACCCTCCCCGAATCGACCTCGATCCTGCGCCTCGGCCCGCCCTCCGCCCTCCCCCCGCTGCTGCGCGGCGCCGCCGAAGGCGTCTCCGACCCGCGGAGAGCTCCCCCGCGGGCGGCCGCGTCGGGCGCCTGACGCCGACGCTGCTGCGGGCAAGATATTCACCTCTACGACCACCCTTCGGGTGAGAAGGAGGTTCGGGGGGGGAGAGGAACCAACGTCTCACTCGATCGGTCCCACTATCGATCTCACTGTCGGTCTCGCTCGATCGATCTCACTCGATCGATCTCACAATCGATCTCACTCGATCTATTTCATCCGATCGATCTCACAATCGGTCTGACTATCGGTCTCACAATCGATCTCACTATCGATCAGGGCGTCTTGGACTTTCGTGGAAGGGGCGCCGCAAGGCCGAGGCGCACTGGAGATGGATAACATTCGAGCCTCTGGTAGGGGCCTGATGTTCATCCGTATCCAGTGCTCCTCGTTTTTTCCTTTGGGAAGTGAGCCCCAAACCCCAAGCTGCCGTGGATATGGACACAAGTTTTGCCCGCAGCTGCTGTACCGCCACGGGGCGAGCGTAGGCCGACGTCGGTACTTTCCCAGACATGGGGAGGAAAAGAGGAGGTCAGGAGGCAACTACCGGGGGGTCTTCCTCGGAAGGCCTAGGGAGGATCAAGCCCCCTTTGGGGGCCTGTTACGCCGGATTGGGCCGCGGATTGAGCGGGATGAAACCAGATTGAGCCCGATGTCGGACCAGGGCAAAGTCAGAATTTGACCCCCCCAGGACCCAGGGGTTGCATCCGAAAGGAGAAATCCCAGCCAGGCTCGCGTCGTGTCGTGCAAACAATCACGGCGGGAGGTGCTCAGCAATTTTCGGCCCCTCGCGGGCCGCAGGACCGTTTCAAACAACCAGCTCGGGATAAAACAACGGCCCTGGGGAAAGGGTCGGCAACTTCGGGGGTGAAGAAGCGTGTGAAACATCTGAGTGTCCATTCCTCCTTTCCCCATACCCGGGAGCCAAAAAATCAAAGTTTAAGGGAGCGGGGCCCTCAGACAATAAGAATCCAGTTTCCCCGGCGGCCACGACGGCCCAAAAGGGCCCCAAGAGAGCCCGACACGGCCCAGAGGTATCACCACGACGGTCCAACATGGCTTCAATACGGCCCTCGAGGCCCCCCAAACGGCCCAAGATTGCTCGCAGAGGTCGCCCAGAGGCAAACATCATCCCGTGCCCACTGGAAAACGTACAATATTAGTAGACTCGTGTTCGTCTTCGAACCGTCCCAGACCAAAGATCTCCTCAGCACGCCCCACAACGCCGCCCAGAGGGTTCCAAGACGGCCCACGAGAGATCAAAGATGGCCCAAAGAGGCCCCCAAGAACAGCCAACAGAGCCCCGAGAGGTGCCCGAGAGGGGGGGAACACAAACTGGCCCATCGAGCACTTGCCCCCGAGAAGGCCCCAGGAGCTCCCCCCGTGCCCCCCGGGCTCACCCAAGAGGTCCAGGAAGCCTCCGAGAAGCCCAAAAGCGGGGGGGACGACTGCGCCTCCTGGAGAGGCGCGCCTGTTGCGGGAGGAGGGGGGAGGAGGAGGAGGAGGAGGAGGAGGAGGGATGAGGAGGAGGAGAGGAGGAGGGAGGAGGAAGGAGGAGGAGAGGAGGAGAGGAGGAGGAGGAGGAGGAGGAGGAGAGGATGGAGGAGGGAGGGAGGGAGGGAGGGAGGGAGGGAGGGGGTGGAGGAGGGAGGGGGAGGGAGGAGGGAGTGAGGAGGAGGAGGAGGAGGAGGAGGAGGAGAGAGGAGGAGGAGGGAGGAGGAGGAGGGAGGAGGAGGAGGAGGAGGAGGGGGAGGAGGAGGAGGAGGACCTCCTCATCCTCCCTCCTCCCCCGTCCCACATGCGGTAGCGCTGGTGGAAGATTTGCCCATCAGGCGCAGGGAAAGTGCCTCCCTCCCGGGGTCGGCCACGCTTCGGCGAACTGGAACGCGACTGGGCTCTGGCGGCGGCCCGGGGAGGCTCTGCGCTGGATGGGCCCGGGGAAACCTCGGCCGAGAGGACGGGACGAGGGCGAGTCTCTTCAGAATCGATGCCTGGGCTTGGGTCGGGCACGTCCCCCTACAGGCGGAGCTTGGGAGAAAGACGGAACCTAGCTTATCTATTCTAAAAAAAGACGG